AGGATATAAAGTTAAAATTAGATTTAAGTAAAATCTTCTGAATTAGAAAAGGCTGAAGAAGTGATTTAAACTGCTATTCAAAATGGATTTAATACTGTTGATTTTGTTAAATACTTTGCTGATGATGAATAAATATAAAAAGCTAAAAATGATCTAATAGGTGAAGCAGTTAAAGATGCTTAGAAAAAGGCAGAAATAATTTTAAAAGATCTTTAATATAGCGTTGACGTTTTAAAAAGATCTTCTGTTGATAATCAAGAAATAAATGGATAAAAAATAACAGTATATGTTACAGTAGTATTTAATATTAAATAAAATATGGTTGAAGAAAAAGATGAATGAGAAAATTATATATATTTTTTTAAAAGAAAAAATCTTATTTATTTTGTGATTTTTTTTATTTATATTTATATTAAATAATATATAATTTTTATTAAGATTTTTTTTACGAAAAAATAAAATAAAAAAATTATATATTATATAAAAAAGTAATAATTAATATTTGTAATAAAAAATATATGAATTAATGTTATAATATAAAAGAAGTTATATTTTTAATTAAAAATTTAATAAAAATTAAAATAAATATTATAATATTAATATAATAATGATATTTATTATTTTTATATAAAATGTATAAAAATTAATAAATATATTTTAATATTATTTTTTTTTTAATTAATTTTTCTATTGATAAAACTATATAAATAATATATAATTTTTATATTTATAATTTACAATTTAATTTATTTATATATTTAAATTAAATACATAATAAAAATATAAAAAAATATAAATAAAATTTAAATAACTTATAAATTAAATTATATTAATTAAAAAAATATTTTTTACTTATATATAATATTTTATTTATATTATTTTCTTTTTTATTATTATTTATTTAATTCACATTTTAAAATATATAATTAAAATAAAATTATTAAATATTTTAAAATCTATTAATACATAAAATATTTTATTTTATAATTAAATTAATTAATTTAATATAATTTTTATAGTATTTATTTATATTATGTTTTATTTTTATTTATTTTATGATATTTTTTTTTTTATAAATTTGTGATTATATTTTAGTTTTTATTTTATATTACATTTATCTAGTTTATTAATATATTTTATATAATAATCAATTTATTTTGGTTTTTAATGCTAAAATTATTGAAAATTTCACATAAAAAATAAAATAAAATATCTCTATAAAAATTATTTATAAATAAAAATTAAAAAAAAAAATACTTTATTTAAGAAAGTTGTAATAATAATAAAAAATGAAAGTAATATCATTAATATTCTTAATAATATTAATATAATAATCATAATAATGTAATGAAACTAATTAAAAATGCGAATGTGAATTATACTTAAGTACTCTATCTGATCCATCAACAGTGTAAGGAACAGCATCTACATCTTTAAAGGATACTTAATTTGAAATATAAGTTTCTTACCAAAATATAGATAAAGATGTTAAAACTGCTCTTTAAAAAAATAAAGAAGTTGTCAAAAAAGTATTAGATATTTATAAAAAAGATGGCGAATTAAGTGTTTCTTCTAGTGGATTTACTATTGATTCTTCTAGTTATATTGATTAAATGAATGAAGAAACTAAATAAAATGAAAGAGTTTTTGAAGGATACAAAGTTAAAAATACGATTTTAATTAAATCTTCTAATTCATAAAAGGCTGGAAAAGTGATTGATGATGCTATTAATAATGAATTTAATTCTGTTGATTATATTAAATTTTCTCCTGATGATGAACAAATACAAAAGGCTAGAGAAAAACTACTAAGCGAAGCAGTTTAGGATGCCACTAAAAAAATAGATTTACTTTTAAAAAATCTAAAAGAAGAAGTTATTGGTGTAAAGAAAGTTTATAATATTAACGAATAAATAGTTGAACCTAATAATGATGCTGAAGATAGTTTTACTTTTTTATCAAGTGGTGGTGAAAATTAAACAAAATTAAATGAATCCTAAAAAACTATGACTATTAAGGTCTATGTTTAATTTATTACTTAATAAATTGAAGAAGATTTAAAATGACGAAAATTTAATTATAATTTTTTTATATAAAATAATTATTTAATATATGATTTTATTTTTTATTATATATAATAATCATTAGTTTTATTATTTTTATATAGTTTTTTTAAATTTGTATATGAAATGTTTTTATTTGTTATTGAATAGCATTTTATATTATATATTTATATATTGTATACATCAAAAAATAGTAAGTAAAAAACTTTAAAATTAAAATAATATGATATGATATTTTGATTAGATTTGAATTTATAATATGTATATATTCTTTTAAAAAATATTTTTTTTTCATTAAATATTCTAATGAAATTAATATTAAATGTTATTACTTTGTGCTTATTTTATTTTTAATAAAATAAAAATCTAAGCTATTTTAACAGAACGCTTTTAATTGAATAAATAAATACTATTAAATAAAAAATTACAAAAGGAAAATGAATTAATTGATTATGTTTTCTAATGATAAAGATGTTTATTTTATGAAAATAAAAAATATAAAATTCTTAATTATATTTGAGTATTTTTTTGAAAATAATAAATTCTTAACAAAATTTAAAAATTAATAAATTTTTTTTGTTAATTTGAAAGTGAAATGCATGCTGATATTTCTATATGAAAAAAAACTTTAACAATTATAGTTTTTTAAAAATATGATGAATATTCTTATAAATTTTAAGATAACATAAATAGAATAATGTATTATATATATAAATATATATGAGTATATTTTTATAAAATGAAAATTGTTATATGTTAAAATATTAATTATATATTTTTTAATTTTATTTAGATTACAAAATTATATATTATAAATTATAAGATAATTTTGAAGAAAAATATAATTTATAAATTCTAATTAAGGTTATTAATCTTTTATAGGGATTATCTTAACATATTTCATGGAATAAATTTAGAAATTGATAATTGTTTGTTTAGATTTTACACAGCTGAAGAATTAATTAATTCAATATACACAAAATGGAAGTTAAGAAGGCGATATTTCATTAAGTATTTCTTTAAAAGTAAAGTTTTTAAAGATGTTTCTAATAGTTCATAATTAAATAAATTTCTTATAATTAACAGAAGATTGTAAATAAATTAGAAATATCCAATTATTTTTTAAATTAAGAATAAATGTTGATAAATTAATAAATAAAATTAAATAAATAAAAAATATACAAAAAGATTATATATAAAAATAAAAAAAGAATGAAGTTAAAATATTTTCAATAAATATAAAATTAAATCAATAATATAATATAATATAATATAATATAATATAAATAAAAAGATATAATTAAAAAAAATAATCATTGCAGAAAAATAGACATTTAAAAGCTGATGGATATTTTAAGAGACAATATTATAACTTTAAGTATGTTAGGAATATTACATGTAAAACTGAATTAGAAGAATATTGATATGAAGCATAATTTCACCAATTATTTATTTTTATATTTTTAAAATATCTTGTATTTTTTTGATGATATATATGATTTGCTCTGGATATATAAGATAAAAAAGTTTAATTTAATTTTTAAATAATTTTAAATGCATCAAATGGCGTTAATCATGTAGTTGCACCAAATTAATTTAAGAGATTTTACTAGATATATTAAA